CGCAGAATGAAAAGGGTGCATAAGTGCGCATGCGCAACACGGTGTGTTTGATTGGCTAGCGAGCGAAAGGAAAAACAAAACCACCGACATGTTTTGCCATTGTCTTGTTTCCAGAACTGCATGGCACTATTGTAACATGCCGAACATGTCTGCAAACTGCATCAGATAAAAGGAGATTTTTCCCCCGTCTGTTTTTAGATTAGCAAGATTGCAAACTCCGGACAGATTTGGGAGTCGAAAATGTTGATGGGAACTACAGTCAAAATGAAGATGCTGTTCATAAGTATGGTGAGTTTTCTTCTCTTTTTTTCCCTCTCAAGATCACCCCAGAGAAATTATTTTCCCCCAGAAAATTCCAAATGCGCAGCTTAATTAGATTACGTCATTTCAACTTGTAATAATTTTAACTTATCGCCACTTCAGTTTTTAAGAAAGCATTAATGCAATTCAATCATTTAGAATCTACTTAATACATTTAAGGCAACCCACTTGCCTTAATTAAAATCAGAAGATTCAGCTTATTATAATTTAAGTAATTGCAACTCACATACAAAGGGAATCTAGTTATGAATAAACTGATGGAATTATCTGCTACTTTGTAAGATTTACCAAATTGTAGTAGTGCTACATACTTCAGGGTATCCTCACTTATCACAACATAATCTCGGTACACATTATAACGAAGTTCCAAGTTGAATTTTCATATTCAATATCGACAGCACTACAGTGAAAGCACATGTGCACTGTTTGCATTTACTGTTAATGTTCTAAAGACAAGACTCCGCGCGCATTCACTGAAGTGCTCGATTTACAACAGGGATTCGATGGCCACGCAATGCCATTTAATATTATCTCCATAACACTCAGAATTCATCGTACTACTCCTGCTGGTTGGTTGGACGTGAATACAACCCCCCCCCCCCCGAAAAACTGTATATTATGTTCGCACGAAAAGCAATTTGATGTCAAATACATACAACCTGATATTAAAACAATTTTTATTGAACATTGAATTTATCATTGAAGACTTAAACACTTTAAGTTATACCCACTCTTTGTGATTTACGTGTTTATTACTCAAACTTGCTGATCAAATCTTACGTATAATTAATGACTCTTTTATCGTTATTAGCTTTACTTAGCTTTGTTGTGTTTTTATGACAAAAATACTTCACGTTTCATCTTCAAGATATGGATTTAATATTTAGTACTAATATGAATTAAGTGCACGTGAGGAATCTGCTTTTTGAGTAATATTAACCAAATAGTTTAGGTATCATTAACTCAATTTTAAATGATGTTGTGTTTACTCATTTTCTTGGTGTGGATGAAACTTAATAAATTAAGTATAATTCACTTTTAACATTTTATGCTTTTTAGACTCAAATATCAACGTAAAAGCAACTAAAATTGAGTTTTAAGTATTATTCAATCATTTAATTGGTCTAATATTACTTCCGCTAGGGTTCATTTTTTTTAGTGTAACGGGGAGGGGGTGAATGCAAAATGAAAGAGGGTACTGGGTGGGGGTGGGTGATCCCATTGTTTATCCCTTGGGTCGAAATGGGGGGTGGGGCATGGGCGTCAACAGGATTTTTTTCGGGGGGGGGGGGAGGAGGCAAAGCACACCCCCCAATTAAATCATTGTATTTTCTCTAGCATATTCTCAAGTCATCATTTTTCGAGGGTAGGCGGGGGGCCGGTGGGGGACATAGCAAATATGACGTCACACCTCTTCTTTTTTCCCCTCTTTTTTTTTGGGGGGGGGGGCTTTTCGGGGGGGGGAGGCAAGCGCCCCCTTGCCCTATCCTAGCGAGGCCCATGCAGTAGGGGAATATATCCCCATACTCTGTGGGTTTTTTGCCCGTGCATATAATTCTCCACTTACACTTGATACACGTTGCATCAATGCTACGAGAACTTATGAGGATTTGTTGGTACCCGCGTCACCTTTATGCGATAAATTTCCGTTATTACGTACCCAATTTTGAAATTCGGGTTTGTCGTTTCTTGATCCAGTATTTGATTCTACGACCTCTGTCTACATCGGCAAACTGTGTTGATGGTAAGTCAATTCGCTTCTTATACACATTTTGTTTGTCCCATGTGTCAAATATTAACTACATGGTGGTGCCAAACGAAGGGAACCCACTTCCGACATCAATTTCCAAATACTTGTTAAGCACATTTCAAAAATTTCAAATTAATGGTATTAAAATATTAATCTTTAAACATAGGTAACGAAAAATGATTGCAGATGCATATTCTGTCTCTGATATGGTAGTTTAAACATGTCATATGCCAAACCTGTTTGTCCATGGACGGCTTTATTCCATCCGCTTGACTGAGCTCCGGAGCTTGATTTCAAGACAAAAAAAGCACTACACTAGACTTACTAGTGGACAACAGTAATTTTGGTGACTTGTATTCAAATTAGCATAATAACACTATTCTTGCGATTTTTGTTACAGTTTTTTTCACCACGTATAGTTGAAGAGCTACACTTCACTAAATTATAAAAAAAAAAACAGTTGAAATCAGTTAAGTAAGTAGGTTAACTTTACCTATCGAAAGTGGGTTTCCCTCTTTTTGCACAACTCTGTACGGATGTACTTTCTGTCGTTTTACCATGATAGTCTCCACATTGACGTTTGCAGCTTAAGAATACCTCTTGCGTGTATAATGATTCTACTACACGCGCGTCGCTATCGGCATGGATTTTAGGCTATTTTGGGTTTGGAGAGCTTTTGGTTTTTTTAATTGATTGCCCACAAAACAACAAATTCGCACACTCAAAAGGCTCCTTTGAAGTTAGCTATGTTGGCTTCCTTTAACATCGTCTCGTGCTTGCTAGCTACACATTTCATCAGTTCTAATGGTAATATTGTGCTTGCATTTAATATTTTGTTTTATCTAAAGTCAGCCGATTTTGAAATCCTGTTTTACTTTCTAATATGAATGAGTGATGACTCATTAATGCTTGTTTACTGATTTAAAAGATTAACGTGTCCCTTTTTTATAGCCTACTTCTTAATTTGTACAGGGTGAGTAAAAAAAAAACCGAAACCGAAAATGGCAGGACACATTTTTGAATGACGTTTTGCCTGTATGACATTCAAAATCTAGGATACGAAAGCCCAGTTATTAAGCTTTCTTTTAGTACCTCAATATGGAGACTGTCACGAAACGAAAACAAAACGAAAACAATTCACATGCATCCCCATGAGAAGTGTTTTCGTTTTGCTGAAAGAACACGAACTTTTTTTGTGATCCGTGGACAGAACTTTAAAACGGTGTTTCTGTTCAAAATTCCGTAACTTGAAAAGTACATGAGTGATTTGAATGATTCTTGTACTAAAAGAAAGCTTTATAATATTGAAACTTGGCTTTCGTGTCCTAGATTTTGAAAGTGCTACATGCAGAACTTCATCCAAACATTGGTCCTGTCATTTGGGTTTTGTTTCTTTTTTTACTCACTCTGCATGGTCATTTGGATGGTAGGGGCGCATTCACCACTGGTGTCATCAATCTTTTTTTAAATTGAAACTTCATAACCGGACGTAGCCACGGGTTGTCCTGACATCAAAGATTGTTTACCTATACCGACCACTTGAAGACTTTGTCAATTCCCAGGGCCCAATGTCTTGGCTCTGCTAACCACAGATAGTTCCGCGCTTACGATCACCATTTTGTGCTAACCGCGCTAGCACAAAAATTCTGTGCTAACCCTGTAAGCACAGAATCCTTAGTTACGGGATATACACATGCGCAGAAGCCAAAATTCCTCGCTTACACGTGAAATACGCTTACCGTAAGCACGAAACTTTCTGCTATAGTAAGTAGGGATTGTTCGCCAACTGTAAGCTGAGCCAAGAAATTGGGCCCAGGTCAACGCCACTCTCCCGAAAAAAAATTCGGGGGAAAGTGTGGCACAAGCCGGTACCCCATGCATTTGTGTACATTGCTGCGAGGACCATTTTGTGCCACACTCAAGACTTGGAATAGAGTCCCCCTCAAAATAAAATCGAACCTATGCTTTTCTAGGCTTTTTAATATTATGTAAAGACCCAAGTTAATTACCAAAACAAGTTTTGAAACTGGCCATAATTTGGCTGTCTGTGCAAGTCTATCGGGAAATTGGCAACTGAACTTAGTAAGTCAGAATAAACATAAGTATGAAGGTTGGTAGAGTTTTGCTTTTAATTTAGGACCATAATTGTTACTATAACAAAAAACCCTACAATGGTTTACCTTGTACACTGGGAAAATAATACCTGCATGAAAGGGTTAAGCTTCTTTAAGACGAGTATTAATTTTGACTAGAAACGAGCTCTTTGAGGAAAGTGGTCGATACTGCATCAAACGTACTGCAAAATGTACGAGATTGCACACATTCCAGTTTTAATACCAAAATACTTCCTTTAAACATCGTTTCTGGAAAATCATGCATTTCTCATTAATTTTCACTCATTTTTATCGTGAAAGAATCACCGATTCCTCCGAGTGTATCGCCCACGACCTGGACAGCATGGTACAACGTTGACGATCCGACTGATGGTACGGATGACGAAACACTTGCGGCAGTCAGAGCGGTTAGTTTGTCTCTGTTTATGTCTGTCTGTCCGTTAGTTCAACTTGTTGGAATCACATAATCCTCTTTTCCTGCCACGATAGCGGGCGGCATAGTAAAGCATAGACCATCCACTAGAATTAAGCGCCGTCATGGTGACAAATGCACATCAAATCAAAGCGTGTATCTGTCTGTCTGTTAGTCAGGGCTAGCTGTTTATCTGTCTGTCCGTTAGTCAGGGCTAGCTGTTTATCTGTCTGTCCGTTAGTTAGGGTTAGCTGTTTATCTGTCTGTCCGTTAGTCAGGGCGTGCTGTTTATCTGTCTGTCCGTTAGTCAGGGCTAGCTGTTTATCTGTCTGTCCGTTAGTCAGGGCTAGCTGTCCGTCACAACTCATCTTCACAAACCCACCCTCTAGACAACAATAATATTATGAAACAGTGTGTTTTCAACTTGCCGGTAAGGTACTCAGGCTGGGGGTGGGGGTGTTGAGGACGAAATTGTTTTTCCCCTTGAATGATTGCGTTTTTGGTCAAGTTGGTTTAAAGTGGGAGAACCAGCAGCCGCGGATGGGGGGGGGGGGGGGGTGTAAATTACTCCTCCCCCGCTCTGACCAGAAAAAAAGATTATATACTAATAATAATTACCTTTGTCTGCCTGTCCGCAACACTCGGACACAGAGGCGTACCCAGAGTTGGTAGGGGGGGGGGGGGGGGTTATTTGTACATTATTGTGCGATATGGTGTGCATGGTCATGAGATTTGAACAACGCCCCCATTGAAAAACCAGCCCCCACCCCCTTTTGTTTAGTTTTTACGGAACCAAGTATCTGGAGAAAAAAAGCTGTCTACATTTTAGCACTGATTTTGACGGGCCTGACACCCCCCCCCGCAAAAATTCCTGAATCCGCCCCTAACCAGAGGCTCGGTCTTTGACTCATGGAGGGAGAGGGTTGGGTTAGCTGTCTGGGTGGGGGTGTTGTTAGAAGGCATGTGCCACTGCTTTTCCTGCTTGTTTTTCCGGTCCAAGGAGTTGGACTGCCTCCCCCCCCCCCCGGTTGACCTATCACTGAGTATATTACAACAAGCAGCGGTTGAGAGGTGTTGGCGCTTTTATTTCCCGAAAAAGGGCAAAATGTCGCCTCAAAGGCAGTTGCAATGGGCGGCCCATTTCCATGATCAATACACCTACACTGTTCTCTCTCTTCGGGCCCTTGTTTATCCACACAGGTGCAACCTTCAGTCTGCGCCACTCCCACCCAAGCCGACTGCCGGGTTCGATTCCTACACACCGATCACGTGACTGCTGCCCAGACGCTGTCCACTGGCTGTTCTCCTACCGGAGGGTTGTTGTGCCGTGATGCTGACCAAGCCGGCTTCGTGAGATGCCTGGACTATGAGGTCCGATTCCTGTGCCCGAGTCCTATAGGTATGATTCCTGTCGCAAGTTAGTGTCAGGGTTTCTACGCTAATAGGGATAATATCAATTTAATTATGACCGTGCATCAAGACAAATGGAGATGACATTTGGCGTGACTCAACCTAGCCTGAACTAAAATGCTATCGAGCTGACTTAACCTGATATAATCTCACTTTACTCGAACCTATATGACGTGGCCGTATACCTGGCCTGATCTGACCTGACCTACTGACCTGACCTGACCTGACCTGGCATATGGCCTACGATGGCCTGACCTGACCTGACCTAACGCAACAAAACTTGACCGGACCAGACTGTTCTGGAATCAACGTAACCTAACAAAAGCTGCAGCGACCTGACCTGACTTGACCTAAACTGATTTGACCTGACCTGACCTGACGTGATAAGACCTAACTGATCTAATCTGGCCTTATCCGACCTAACCTGACCTGAGATGACCTGAGATGACTCGACTAGGCTTAATTAGCCTGACCCGACCCGAATCAGCTCTTACAGATAATAAGTTAATGTCGCAGTCTGATAATTCTTTGTGTACCCTTCATCAGACGCCCTCCCTGCGCCACATTTTCACTGGGACATGAGCACTAAGGCATCGATTGACGCAGATGAACCTGTGACCTGTGGTGGCGCTCTCTCGTCCATCTACCCTAATACTGGTGGCATGACGGGAACCGTCGGTGGCGTCCTTACTGCCACCGACAGTTTCGACTCGTCCGATCATCTGTGTGCCGTCAGGAACCAGAAGTCGGGCTGGGTGGATTACGGCTCTGGAAACGACAAGTGTATCGCGGAGCCCGCCTGCTGCACCTCGGGGTTTACCGTAACATTCTGGATGAAGAATAGAACGCCCGCGAGCTTGGGTTACATTTCTATTATACTTTCCGCTGGTGGTCAATCTTCAAAGGCAAGGGGAATGATATTTTATTTAGCAGATTACTTTTCCTTTGATTTAAGAGGTGTTCCGTCGAATGCGCAGGTCTGGAAACTGAATATCGATGGCTACTACCCCAATGATCAGTGGACTCATCATTCCTTCACCTTCGAGCCAGCAGTCGGAACAAACTACTACAAGAACGGCACCTTTGTTGGCTCTACCAACGTAACTTTGAATGAGGGTCCCGGTACGTCGCACTTCGACAACGTCGTCATGTTTTCGAGAAACAACAATCCAAGTACGTGGCCGTATCCGAATATCGATGGAGACTTCAGCAATTTCAAAATGTTTTACAAGAACTTTGACGATGCAGAAGTTCAAAGTGCATATCTCCAAGAAACCTCAGGTAAGTGGCATTATGAGAAACTAACCTTTGACACTTTTTGGTATCAAAAGAGGTATACGCTACTTCGCCGTAAAATCGTTTTCTATCCGTTTAAAGTATTTTCCGTTTGCAAGTCGCACAAGAAATAGCTTGTATTCAATTCTTTGCAATATAATGCTCGGGAATGGTGACCCTTTCACAAGTGAAAAAGTGTACCATTTTCACTCGTATTCTTTGCTAGAATCGAAGCTGCTCATCCACTACCTGATGAAGCACAGTCACGAGGACAGCTTTGGAGTCGAGTTGGAGTGCCTGGCCAAGGCCGGCAGTCCGCCGGCAATCGCTTGGCATCGCTCGGACGACGGTACCTACTTCGAGTCGGTTTCTTCCTCGGTGGATGTGGCCATCTACGAGAGTTTGCCCAACAGCTACAGGAGACGATCCGTCTTGGTGGTTCGCCATCTCACCTTGGCATCTAACGTCACCTTTGCGTGTGAAGCAGTCGACACTGACACCGGGGGAAGCGTGTCAAAGACGATCACCATTCCGAAACGTGAGTTCGCATGCTTTTATTTATTTTTACCAATAGTCCACAGAAAGGTCCATGCAGCTGAAACGATGCCTTTGTCGTCATTTGCATCTGGTCGCCCAAGTTCGAATCCTGCCCGGGCAGACATGCTAGTCTTGTTTCAGTCTCTTTCTGCTTCCCGAGTTATTCCTTGACACATTTTCCGTTTTCCTTTCAACCCCAATAACTTCTTTGATTCTATGCCTGGACGGATTTATCCAGGCTTACTTTCTTGCATTGAGAGCATATGGGAAACTTTGGATCGAATCGTGACGTCTGTTCTACCCTTTTTGCGCTGCAGGTGTCATGTACTGGACGCCTTGGTTGAACGCTGATAGCACGGTTGATGGTGACGACAGAGAGACGCTGATCCAGCATCAACAGGTATGAAGTCCACCACTCGCCTTATAAAAAAAACTGTATTTTGGTTATGCAGGCTCTTCTTCGAATAGTTTAACTTGATTGGTTGTAACTTCTCCTCCCAAAATAGGCACTCGACCTGCTCTGCAAGTATCCCAGCGACATTCAGTGCCGTACAGTTTATGACGGCATCTCGTCCAATGAGACTGGGCAGATACTGAACATCAGCTGCGTGTTGTCGTCCGGTTTGGAGTGCCTCGGTGCTGATCAGGGCGCCGAACATGACAACTCATGTTTTGACTATGAGGTTCGCTATCAGTGCCCTGAACGTAAGTACGATACGAACAGATAGGTTCGTTATCAAAGTAATGACCATCAAAACAATATAGGCCTACAACTGCTCAATATTTTTAAAGAGGTTTCCTACGGTATAATCGTTGTCTTTCCGGTCTCTATTTTTTTCACTCATTGTCTCGACCAGCCCTCTACCGTTGGACGCCGTGGTATGATGCCTCGGATCCTGATGGAACAATGGAAGATGAAACGTTGGCTACTCACATGACGCAGGTTGGTCAACAAACTATTGGCATTTGTTCATTGAAGTGGTCAGGATCTATGCAGCTTGAGCACAATTCCCCAATTCAAGTCCATCTATGTATTTTTTTTCGAAGGTGTACGTTGATTTGTGCAGAATAGAACACAATAACAAAATACACCTTCAGGTCCTGAGTCCACCACTCATTGAATCTCTACTCCAAATGTGTAACTAGATGGCTGCAGCTATAGTGTGTCAAATATCACCTTGGCGAAATCAGCACCTTCTATCGATTCACATTCACTTGTGTATTTAGCTCGTAAGGTGTACTGGACCTGCGTATAAGCCTCAAGTACTAAGGCCCATACTGTAGGCCCTGTGTGTCGCCTTAACGCGTGTGGTCACAACTCACTGAATTGTGATCATGTTATTTATTCGACTCCCAAGGCGTACCCTGATCTGTGCAGCCAGCCCATAGGTGCAGAGTGTCGCCTTAAGGCCACCCAACAACACCTCATTGCCAGCGGGTACATTCCTGAGGTTCCCTATCTGTGCAACGCGAATGGATTCCGCTGTCAGCATGCGGATAACACCGGATCCTGCCCGGACTTCGAAGTGCGTTACAGATGCCCAGATTCAACAGGTATCATAAAGATTTTAATAACAGTAACTAAATGTACGTCATAGTAGATGACTTGCTTGAAGTTGTTTAGTGTGAAAGGCCTAGATATGGAACAAAGGCGCGCACAAGGGTTAGGTGCTGTACATGACCTAATTTGAAAGTACCCACAAGGCGAACACACAACACATTGTATTCAATGACAGAGGATAGCTACTGCACCAACTTGTTTTCTTTATATACTGTGTTTTACAGCTTTGAAAGGTATCAGCGTTGACAGCCTACAGCAACGGAGTCACCACTTGGACCCAGATCTGACATTGACCTGTAGCGCCACCGTTGGCCACCCAACCTTAGGTCCTCTCACGCTGGAGTGGGCGTGGCTTGATACCTCCCGCCCCTACGCTGCGGTGACCATACCATCAGGAGGAATCGTCAGTAACGTTTCCAACTCCTCGCCGTCTGTAATGACGATCGAGAACTTCACCAGCAGCACGTACGCGAATACCACGCTGGTCTGCATTGCCCGAGATGGCATATTCGTTGATGCGAAGACTATTCAAATAACACTACGTAAGTTAGACGACTGGACAAATGTATTGTGTTCTCCTCAGAGTTGTATTGGAGTCACGATTCAGTCACACATCCATCACAAGGCAGATCACGAGTCAAGTCACAATAAGCAGGGGATGTACATTGACAAAGACAAAGCTGTGTCACTTTTCATTGGATTACCTGACCTTACCTCACCTGACCTTACATCACCCGACCTTACATCACCTCACTTCACCTCACCTTACCTTACCTTACCTCACCTCACCTCACCTCACCTTACCTGAACTAACCTCACCTGACCTCACCTGACCTCACCTGACCCCACCTGACCCCATCTGACCTCACCTGATCTGACCTGACCTGACCTGACCTGACCTGACCTCACCTTCAAATTACCTAACCTTCAAATACCCCGCCTCTCAATTTTTGACTGGATGACAGGTTATGACTTGTGAATATTTGTGAAAAAACTTGCGAGTGATTTGTGATGAGTGGCGGTGACTTGATTATAACTTTTAGGCTACGGCCGACTCACTTGGCTGGAAATTAGACTCCATGGATTACCTAGATTCAATCGCTAGACAGGCACGGTCAGGTAAAGATACCAATTGTTTACTGTGGGTTCTTTTCTTCTTTGCAGCATCGTTCTGTGAACTACCTTTGGGCGTATCCAGTGGTAAAGTCAACGTCATTCAAATCACACCGTCGACCATTAATTCGTCGCCTTTCAAGGTAAGACATGCTCAGCAGAAATGTTCATTTCAATTATAAACGCACACAGTTAAGTGTAATGCACCAGTTTTCCAGTCAAGGTCAAGTTTGACACTGAAGAACTTTGTCACATGTTCCAATGTAATGGTCCAACGTATTTTCTTTCAGGTTCCCGGAGTGAATGGTCTCGATCCGTGGGTACCAGCTGTCAGCGATGCCACGCAGACGCTGGATTTTGATCTTGGTATAGATTTCGCGGTATGCTGAAATATATATCATGCACTTCTGATCGATATGTACTTTTTCTTTTTATAACACTGTCAAAAATATATAATTTCCCTATCAATTCCAACATTTTGTTTGTTTTAATTGACATGCTGTCTATTTTTGTGCGTGGCTCTTCAGATAACAGGTGTTGCTGTACAGGGGGATCCTGACAGTACCCCTCCTAATAATCACTTACAAAGCTTCGGTCTGCGTCAGAGAGGCAATGAGAACGATCCTTGGGTCTCATACACAGACGGCCTTGGAGACAGCGTGAGTACTACTTTTTTTTCCACAAAAACTAAGAACAAGTACAAAAGGCCATTCCGTTTTTAACATGTTGATAACATTGAAGAAATGAAGAGTTTATTCCAAAACGAGATGTACGGCATTGTGTTCCATTTTAGAATGCTGCCCTCTCCTGTTGGCTGCCCAAAAGCAATTTCGACGGCTGTTACATACCTAAACACAAGTTAGGAAATACAATCAGGCGAAAATTAAGTTTAGAAACAGCCGTTATATATTGTTTTCATTCTTTAGAGTTTAATATCAACCGTGCTTAATGTTCAGCTTTTTTCCAAATGGATATGTCGCGTTTTGAAAATAAATTCTTCAAATTTAGGCCGAGGAGTGTATAAATATAAAAGACACATTAAATATATTCATTTGTTTCACCAAATCTTTCTAGCAAGTACCAGGTGATTGTGACCAACGAAAGACAATTGGCAGGAACTATTGTTAGTAACGGTTCTTATTACAAAATCGTAAACATGTACACCTACTCAGTGTCTGCATGTACGACGTCTAATTTTGTGATTATATTACAATGAAGAGCATAATGTGTTATTTCGACGGCCGCATTCGAAACTGTCTCTTAAAACTATTTCCACGGATTAATTCTTCCCAAACTGAACGGTGTTTTTTTGGTTGTAGGTTTTCACCACCAACTATAGTGACGGCTCGACTAGTTTCACCACTCTCACCCCAAATGTCACCACGAGGTTCCTCCGTTTTCAGCCGGGAGCCTGGACCGGTGAAATCATGGTGAGGGTGGAGCTCTATGGATGTGCTGTGGGAGGTAAGGGCGTGGCTAATGTCTGTTTCGTGAGGGTGGGGGATTTCAAAGTTATCATAAGAGGCGTATTGTCTTGCAAAACAGTGCGCGCCATTATGATTAGGACAGTCTAGTTGGTCGACGAAGGGTTGACAGATACCGAGTGCGCTTTACACTACAAATATGAATTAGTTGCTTTTTTGTACTTGACACTTTATTTAATATTTCAGCATCTACTCTCCGGATCCTTCAACTAACCAAGAAGTATGACGTCATCGCCAATAATGTCACCTTCACCTGTCGGGCCGAGCATTACCCGCTCCCTGCGATCACGTGGTTGGCCGATGGAGTGCCCATTGTGCCGCTTGAGGGGGCGCTCGAGGTCTCGCACACGACCGACGTGTTCCCCAGGGTGGCGTCGTCCCTGACTGTCATTGATTTCCACCGGGACAACGACAGTGTGACGTTTACCTGTCTGGCGCGGGCCGGGGTCGAGGTTGAGATGGCCAATATATCCACGGAGTACAGTGAGTCTTATCCCTCTTGCCAAAAAAATAAAAAATTGGAAAGACGAAAGTTAGGAAAAGACTTCTGATCCTCAGCTTTTCACCCTAAGCGAAGAACCCCAACTCCTTTTGTGTATTATTTTCCACAGATTTCCAAGGTACGGTGTCTGTATCAAGCGATCCCGTTGTCTTCTACGGAAGTGACGTCATTGTGACGTGTACAGCTTCCGGTGACGATATTTATGTCATGGACTGGGGTCACCGCGCAGCGTCCACGAGCGACCCTTTCGTCACTGTGCAGTCAAGTGGGCGATTTCTCATCGCAACGGTGGTGGATAATGCCACTAGCTGGCATTCGACGCTGACGATAAGCCAGTTTATCCAGAGTGACGAGGCAGAGTACGCATGCTTGGTGAACTCTGACACCGCGAGAGATACCGCGGTGGTTTTAGGCAGTAAGTTCACTTTTGCACCTTTTGTCTGGTTTACGTCCAAATTGATGACATTACTCCATTAATACCGAAAGCCTGAACCTATTTCTAAATAGAATTTGACAAAGCAGAAAGGGGTTTTGATCAGGAACTTTTTCACGAATAAATATTAGGGTCTGGTCTGTGGGAGAGTTGGTCAAACGCCACCTACGACGAGACGACCAATTCCTACCTGTTGGAGTGTGCGGTGGGGTATCCTACCATTGAGCCGAACGTCATTTGGGTTGTTCATAACGGCGATGGGGCGGTCCAGACAAACAACAAGTACCAGGTAGTGTTTTGTTGTTGTCATTTGTGACTGTGCGTTTATTTCAATATATTCGAATCATTACAAAATACCTTTTGATTTACTTGCGATGACATCTCATGACTTGAATATTTAATCAGATTTATGTTTTGAGTCGAGCCGATGTAAATTCTAATTTCCATATCGACGTAAGAAACGCAAAGTGAAACGCAAACAGGACCCAAACTGCAACGCAGAAGTGTGGAAACATTTCATCCGGAAGTGTCGCCGACAACCCAAACAGAAGCAAACTATCTCGCAGACGATCGGCAAAGTTAAACCCGTTGAATGCGTAGTCTGCTTAACGTCGATATGGAAACCAGGCGTAAAAATTCATTTTACTATCGAGTTTTGCCCTTCACGTCACTGACGTAAAAGTGATGTGCACCATAATACTAAGTGCCGTCTGAGAGCTTGTACGAAAAATCTCACATGCTTGGTGGCAATCAAACCCACGACTTCCAGTTTACTGGTACAGACGTTTAACCACCCCACTAAGCTGCAAGGTCGGCTGGCTGGTTCAAATCTTATGTAGCTAGCAGTGGGTTGACAATCAGCATCTCATAAGATGGTATATGCGTCGGGAAGATGTTAATTTTACAATACATCTCTGTCTTTCAATATCTGCCCTGATTTAGATCCAGAACCGCCTCGTCAGCTCCTCTGGGAATCTGACCAAAATTTCCACGCTGACGGTTCATCATTACAGCTACAGCCAGGACGACGGAGCGTACCAATGCTCGTTCACGTCGGCCGTACAGGAGCTCAACATCACGGTAGAAGCTCAATACGGTACGACACGACCTAGCTTGACCCTAAAAAGAGTTGGAGGCGAAATTCGTTGCTTTAACTTTCCTTTTCCAGTACTTCTGCCACAATTTCTGTTTTCAAGCCGAGGTGGTTTTTTTAGCATCTCGTCAAAAAAACTTGCACACTTTTGGTATCAAATGTATGAAAGTCAGAAGAACAGTTCTCGCAAAGTATCAAATCTGGGCGATTGTTCCCTTCAATTTTCACGTTCTTTTAAGTGATAAAAAGGGTTCTCGCAGATTGTATGATATCTTTATCTCATCTAAAAAAGTCGTGAGAAAGTTTGTGGACAAATGGGAAGGGAAACTACAAATCAATTACGATTTTGGTAAATGGTCTCGGGTATTTAATGTACCTTTCAATTGTACGGTTGATTCTAAGCTTAAATGGTTTCAGTACCGTTTAATCCACAGAATATTGGGCACTAATTCGTTTTTATTTAAAGTTAACAAGTTAGGTTCCTATGTTTGTACTTTCTGTAAGGACGAAGAAGAAACCCTTATTCACCTCTTTTGTAATTGCCGTCATGTCACTTCCTTCTGGAATTCAATTATAGATTGGATCAAGGACAAGACTAATACTGGTTTCGTGGTAGACAATGAGCTTCTTTTGTTTGGTATTACTGATAGTAGATTCAAATGTCTCAATCTTATATTTTTAATTTGTCGATTCCACATTTACAAAATGAAAATGAGTGACAAACGTCCATCCTTTGTAGCTTTTAAAAAAGATCTCAGGAGGTACTATATCTGTGAAAAATATATGTCTGTTGTAAATGGAGTTGTACAGAAATTTTATTCAAAATGGGCAAATTATTCTGTATTGTGTCAAGAGTAATCCCTTTTGCTTAAGTTGTTATTGATTAGATCTGTATCCTTAGCCCGTACTGTATTTGTTTGTCAATGGATGAGAGCTGATTGAAGAGCAAGAAAATGTTATCCCCGGGATAATAAAAAAAAAAAAAAAAAAAAATCTGGGCGCACAATAAGGCTGCTTGAAAATGTCATCGTATTCAACAACCGTGAGTATTATAGGACAGGGCGCGGACTCCAGTGTATGATGAACGCTTGTACACGCACGCTAAACTTGAACAAAATTTGTTGTGAATTACTGGGATATCTGAAGGGGGGCTAAACACGCCCGTACACACGCATGTTCACGTTACATAGTTACGGAGTGTGGACATTCCTTTGCTTTCGTGTTGTGAAAAAAACCCTCATTTTGCTAACACTGTGAAAACTCTTTCAACCCAATTTTTGTTCTATGATTCCTGTTGGTGTTTTTCTTCATTTTGCCATGGATAAACCTAACCCCAAAATGCCTCTAAACCTGTTTTCCAGAGAGGGGGAAACACTGTGTGGACGTGGGCAAGTCCTCACCACGTCGCTGCTACCTGGTTTATGTGGACCTCTTTTGTTCGGAAGTCCACACAGTGAATGTAATGCTTGTACACCTTTATTTCTGCTAGGTGTGCATGCTCGCTCTGACATGCAAGTGTTGATTCATGTGTACATTATTTTCAACACGATACAGCATACCGCGGATCCATCACTGCAAGCACAACGAAACCAATCGACGGCCAGAGCGTCCACCTCATTTGCATCGCTGGTGACGTCGTCGACCGCGTCTACCACGCCGATTGGCTGCGGGTTGTGGGCAACGACAGGATAAAAATAGAAAATGATGTCACTTACTCCGTCAGCGAGGACCGCAGCGGCGGGCAGTTCCGCCTGAATTTAGACATCAATTCGTATTCGCGGCAAGAGGACGGAGACTACGTGTGCTCAATAAACAACGGCACGGAAGAGGCTACGGTATTCCTGAGTAATTCGCTAGGTAGGTGGGAAAATAAGAGTAAGTATTAGGGAATGTCTCCTAGGGTAAAAGGCCGGTGTCTCTCCGCCTATTTCTCTTCCTCTTTCGCTGTCTGTCTTTCTTCTTCCAATTTTGGTTTCTTTGCAGCAAAGATTTGCAGGTTTGATACAGTTTAGTGGAGACTTGGAAGGATGGATGAAACGGGACAAAGCCACATGGTCAGCAACATAAGGTGAGTTTTATCTAAACAATAAACTCGAAAATGAAATGACAAACCTGATAATCTCTCCTTTAGCAAAGGATAAGGTTTTCTCCACTTAGCTAGCTCGCCGTGTGACGTCACGAGGGCCGGCTACAGCGCCATCAAGAGGCTTGGTGAAGTCTTGCTGAAACTTCCGGGAATACTAACGTCATTTCTCGCGTCCAGGGACCAACTAACCACTCATGCCGGTAAGTCGTACGTTACCTCTCTAATATTGAAACAGAGTCGATCATTTTTGTCATCGTCACATAAAAATGACAATGTGAAGACAATTAGTAGTGAACTGACAGAAAAATTACAAACTGGTCAAACAAAAATGTTATTGCAAAATTCAAGAATGTCCGTTGACTGACGCTCTGCGTCCTTTGTGCCGGCAACGTGCCAACCGCGATAATGATATAGCGCCCTCGGTTGTCCAAATCGTTTTAGGTTTTTTTCCCTGTCTAGTTCCCACTTCTAACACCTGTTGTAGTATGCAAAGTCTCACCGTGCACCAGTCTCAAATGTCACAGGTTGGAAGATTCGTCTGAGTTCAAACTTCAGAGGTTTACGTCGAACTTTTGTACTCATTTTGTCTAAAAAATGTCAGGGCATGGGCACAGTCACGGAGGATGTTCAGGGGGACATGACCACGACCCGCCGGATCGAGGGACGGAGTTCTCGCTGTACACAAAGATCGATACGGACCGAGTGGAGTGTTTGAATGAAGTCACGAACGGATCGGGGAAGCTGGTTTTTAAACCGTGGGATCAAAGACTGGACACAGAGAAGGTAAACTGGAAACCGGAGAAGGTTTTGTGGAAAAGTCCCCTCTGAAAGAATGTTGCATCCTGACGCCACTTCAGCAGTTGTGTTCAAAGTCTTTGGAGAGTCAAGAAAATTTCTAAGCGTTTCCCAACAAAAGAATTGGAAATGTTTCTCACTCAGTCGCAGATTCATGGCTTTTCAACATTTTTGCAATGACTGACTTTAATTGAGGTGATTTTAATGAAGAAAAAAGTGGCGCCAGGTTGCAACATTCTTTTCGTCCCCTCAAAACATTTATCTAGCCCAATAAATGGGGCCTCACTGCCACTTTTGGAAAGAATGTAGTAGGGGGGCCTAATCTCTATCAAGTATCATGACTGTATCAAGACGCCACTTGAGTGCATCTTCAACGTAATTTCTAACAAGATTGGAAATGTTTCTCAGTCCCAGTCCCAGCTTCATGTCTTTTCAACACTTGCAATGATTGACCTTCATTGAGAAAATATATGATGAAAAAAGTGGCGTTAAGATGCAACATTTTTTCCCCCAACCCAAATGTAGATTTTTGTTTCAAGTTGAATGACTATTCTCCATCTCCATTGTTTAAGTCAGCAAAATATCCTGCCGGATACATCAACGCTAACTTGACTATTCATTATATCCGCTATACACTGAAAGAACAAAGTAAGTTCAAATGAAGCAGATATTTTAGGTCAATGCTGTCCCAGCTCAGGAGTTTTCAATGGCTTTCAAATTGCCAAGCACACACAACTTTGTTGTACACTGTTTTTCAGTTTTCTATGATACTATATTAAAAAAAAAAATTAAAAAAAATATTTAATTGGTGATTTCGGCTTCTTTATGATTAGCTTTTGCTGTGTCCAAAAGTGTAATAGATCTGTTGGGATCTCGCACAAAAAGTACATGCATGATGGCTACCATGTTTATCGCTGAGTGAGCGCCACTGATGTACCGAACCGTGTTGTAGTGTACTGCCGTATTGGCCTGCACTCGTACCGAAGAAAAAAAAAACCCTGTTGAGCTGGATGTTTGTGAAAATTCTGGGGAAAAAATCCTTACCCGATCATTACTTTATACCTGCCGCCCAACAAATAAATGTTCACCTCACCTTGTGATTTCAACCAAGAGGAATCCAGGAAACAGCGGACATGCGAAAAAAAATTAGTAAAAATGTGTTTTTAGAGCACATTTTGGATGCACATGTAGTGCAGATCTGAGTTGAAGCAGCCGGTCAAAACTGATTGAAGTGTCTGGAACAGCGGTACGTTATACGCATGACATCGATAACCATGACGACGCGTCGCATGAGCCGGCCAATGATAGTGCAATACGTCATTATGAATATTTATTTTTCATGAATATTTAGTTTATTTCAATGGATACTTCAAATACATCCAAAGATTGATCATTGCAGCAGCGATCGTGCGCGGCCTAGCGGTTAAGAGTCTCGTGTATCAAGCAAGCGTCCGAGGTTCGAATCTCGATGAAGTAAGTGACTGATTAATAAATAGAAATAAAGGAAAAGAGAGGGTGAGAGTAGAGGAGGGAAAGTGGAGGGAATAACCATAAAGGATGCAACTTTTGGCGCCTGAAAATTAATTGAAAAAAGTGGTGATCGAGTATGGAATTTTTTCCAAATACTGGTTTAGAGATTGTATGCCTAAGATTCTCTGGGGCACTAGTACGACTGACCAAAGTCAAAATCCAAAGTCAAAAGTTCTAGCGCCTCAGTTACTGGGTCTACTACTGACTAGCACCCAATATTTATTAGTACGGTGATAGCATTTTTCATTTTGTAATGATATGGTTAAATTCTTCTTGCAGTATGTGGAGAGTGATGACGATGAGGAACTGCTCTTCAATATTCCGTGAGTTGCTCAGTTGACCCATATTTGGACATGCTGGATATTTAGCAGTATACCATCTGATTTTGAGGGGACCTTGCCTGAATCCAGCAAAGTCCTGGCCGAGTAAAAAAAAAAAATAGTTTCTCGTCCGGGGTTTTTGAAAAAAGGGAGGACGCGGGGCTTTTTATTTTTTATTTTTTATTTTTTTCAAGATGACCGCCTTTTCAAAATGTCCTGCAACCGTTGGTGTTCCACTGTTCAAAGAAACTTTTAAAGATGAAAAACAAGTTGGACAAGAGAACTGAGCATATTTACAGTGTCATTTAGAGTTGTATTGGTATTGGTATTTATTTTCCGATGAATTTGTAGACTTTTTCAGTGTTTTTCTACTACATTTTTCAAAAAAAAAAAAATAAAAAAAATCCAGGCGGCCTCCAAAATGGAAGCGGGCGGGGACGAGAAACTTGTTGTTTCTTTTACTTCGCCTTACAGGCCAACACAAAAAAAAACACCATAGTTTCTCTTTTAAAAAATGAAGGAGACGTGTGTTTTTTTCCCCCCAAGATGGCGGACGGATTCTTCAATTTTCTCAACTCTTTTGGTGAAACAAAATTGTGTCCAAAGTAGTCGTAACCCCTACATAGCTACAATTTTGTTAGAAACAAATAAAAAGACAATATGTGCACAAGTGTATTGCAACTGTATGAATGAAAATAAAAAATAAACAAAGGCAGGCAGGAAAAACAAAGCGGGCAGGGATGAGAAAGTTAATATTTTTACTCTGCCTAACCCTGTCAATATCCTTCAAAACTTTTCCGAGAGGTTTTGCAAGTTTTGGAATGATTTTGCAAAGTACAACCCTAGCCAATGTGACTTCATGCAACATTGAGTTCCTGTAATGTTGTGGATTTTGGATGGTTTCAGAAGCTTCCATGCTTGGATGTTATGAATTACAGGTCAGATATACACCCCCCCCCCAAAAAAAAAATAAAAATTATTTATTTTATGGACCGTGGCTTTGCAAGATTTCCTTAGTGCTCCATTTCAAATAACTTCAGTTATGGTGTCTATTTTGGCTGAATGATGATGTTTTGTGACCCTACAATTCTGAAACCCCTGTTTTTGTGGGTGTTTTTTTTGCAGGTTCACTGGCAACGTGAAACTCAAAGGAGTGATTGTGATAGGAGGGAATGAAGACAGCCATCCAGCAGAAATGAGATTGTAAGTCTAATGGGTGGGGCATTGGTGGATTGAAAGGGGGGTGGGCTAGGGAGGGATCACTAGTTAAGATGAATTCCTTTTCCCACGGCAGTGTGAAACAAGCCGTGAGCTTGAGCTGCTTATGTTGGTTGCTTGGTGGGTGGGTGGGTGGGTTGTGGACAGTTTACTCGGCCATATATTGTATTCATTCAACTCGAGTATTACAGCTTTGCTTCCGAAGGCCGGTTTTGATAACACTGATACGCATGCGTCTGATTTGCATATTTTTGCATATTAGATCACACCCCATTCGTGTTCGTTTTCTGTACTCTCGAGATACCGGTATGGCCTGGGTGCGCACACGGACCGTGCCGTAAGCCGTCTTAACACGTTACCCGGCCGCCGTGCGTTGTACCACTTGGTACTTGTTGCTCTTTTAGGACCACTGAAAGGCCCCAAAAATTCCATTGCTATGCCCTTCAATGTAGAGCATCGTCAGCCAGTCAGTCAGTCTTTTCACACTGTTTCAGTGACTGTTAGTGAGCCACATTTTACTTTCACAACATCCACAGAAGATCCTGAACTAGTAGAGTGAGTCCCTAAAGTGCTCACACAGCAATAGTGCCTTTAAGTGTTTTAAGAAAATGATGTGGACTGATTATGAATAATCTTAATAAACAAAATTGGAGAATGTACTTTAAAATATATGACAATAACAATGATAGTGCCGTTTTCTTACAGTTCAGAGGAAAGGGTGTTTGCGCAAAGTAGTTGTTAATCAGAGTATTCCAAGAACTAAAGTGAATGTTATGATCTTGAGGTTATTCAAACTTGATGGTACAATTTTCCCAGATACAAGAACCAGCCCAACATGACCTTTGACGATACGCGGAGCGATCCGGACCAAGTCTTTGAGATGCAGCGCGACACGTCAGGAATCCTGGAGTACAACACAAAGTATGGCCAATGTTCTTAGATGAGAAGCCGACCAACTTTGTATCACCCTCAAGTAGGAGGAAGAGTGATACATGAATTTTTGTGCGGATGATCCTTGTAACTCTTAAAAAAAAAGTAAAGGGGACAAACCTGTGTTCACAGGAACGGAGTGCCCATCTCTCTTTCATTAACGATTGGGCCAGACTCATATGCTGCTGTGGGGGGATCGCCACACCTCCTCCACAGCGAGTCTGTTACCTTCCCAGCATTGAATAATGCCGGTACCCATTTAACACCTGGGTTGAGAGGAGTAATTGAGGTAAAGCGCCTTACTCAAGGGCACAACACACATGGCCATGACAGGGCTCGAACCCACAATCTCTCTATCATGAATCCTGTGCTCTACTGCTAGACCACACGTGCCCGCTTCAGCGATGTACATGTAAATCCTCCAGCAGTCGTAGGAGGGGGACCCCTTCCGTCACATATCTTGCTGCAAATGAAATAATATTTCACTCTGAAATTATAAACATTTAGCTAGTCCTCTTGTATTTCTTCTCAACAGGATTGCGCGGTTTTCCAACGTCAACCACCTCTCTATCCATTTCTCCAAGAACTTCGGAGCCGAGACATCGATAGTGTATTACATCGGCCTGCGAGGGGAATTTACAGAGGTGAGACAAGTCTCATTCCAAGGCTGGATTTGGATTTTATGCCCCTAAAGACAGCCGGTCCCTGACCAGCGTGATAAAATCACCGCTACGGTAGATGGCGCAATGAACAAGATGAATCGTATCTAGTATTTGGAATTTTGGCAATGCTACCCAGGAAATCCTGTGCGTTCCTCACACACGTGCTTTAGCTTGAGTACACACGCGTGTTAGGTACGTTCAGAATTTTCTGGGGAAAGAAAGTAGTATCCAGACGCCACTTTGGTTGTGTACAAAGTCTATAGCGAGTCGAGTGCATGTTTAAAGTATTTTCTAACAAAATTGGAAATGTTTCTCAGTCCCAGATTCATGTCTTTTCCACACTTTTACAATGACTGACCTTCATTGAGGTAATATGTGATGAAAATAGTGGCATCAGGATGCAACATTCTTTCCTTTTCTGGGTAGCATTGCCAATGTTCCCAAGACTAGGTTTGATTTATCTTCTTAACCTCTACCGCAGCAGCTTTACTGCGCATGCCAGGGACTGCCTGTGTTCGGGGAATAACATCCAGATTCAGTCTTGAGACCTAGACTAAGGTGAGACTAAAGTACCGTAATTTCCTGCGGATAAGGCGCGCGGCGGATAAGGCGCAGGTCCCTAAAATCACCCCAAAAAATTCAAACGCCAACAGATAAGGCGCACCGCCGCATAAGACGCATGTTTGACCGCACACAGAAGAACACCAGGCGTCACCCGGTGTCGGTACATCGCCACAAAGGGGCCATTGTGTTGCCTTAGAACGATCACACTATTCGGAGGATGAATTAAGCCGTGTCCGCACTGGATTTTTTTTTGGAAGGTTTTACCGAGACGATAGTAAAATGAGAAATGGTCAAATGTGACCACTGTCCGCACTTGGACTTTCGACACGGGAAAATTTACCCAGACCGCGTGGGAGAAGTAACCGAGCTGTCACAGTGTCAGTATAAATAATTACTCACCGTACACAGAAAACAAATTGCCGATCACATTTTCAGCCGCCGATACGCACAGTAATATTACACACGCCATTTGCATGCACAACATAATCGTTTACACGATATTATTTCATCTTGACACGCTAAATCTTGACGAAAAGGCCTGTAATTCTGACACATTTGTGATGCACGTCGTCGAAGCCATGCCGCTGTACGATGTTCCGTGCGGCAGCAGTGCCATCAGTATTCATTGGTTCCCATCGCATGCTTACAGAATCGAAGCTATGATGTGGGCCAGGAACCAGTGACTACGGCCTACGTACGGTACCGGACCATGATGTTCCGTGTATGACTACAGTAGCGTATCAGGACGAATTTGGATCGTAGAAAATAACATACATCGGTGGAGAAAGAGAATTTCCGCAAATTAATTCTCAGAACGTGATCTCTCTTCTCTGTGTATGTATTTGTCCGTTGAAATATATATTTAACGAGATTTTACCGCTCGGACTTGATGATACACCGCAGCGTGTTTCTACAAAATGTTCGGCCACACGTGCACTGAGGTTCGTGCGGTCTCTGTATGCATAACATGGCGCTCGGGCCGGAAGTACGCTTTCTTGAGCCGCTTTTACCGACTCGCACTGTTTTCATCTTGATCTTCAGGCTTGCAGAAAAAACCAACCGCACACCTTTGAGCAACACCAAAACGCGGTGAATGGAGGAACCTTGTTGACTTCGGTTTCAAAATGATGCCGATTGTCATGTTGACATTAGTACTTCATATTATCCCAAGTCTAAAGCAGACTGCGAAGATATCCTGTACAAAAAACACCCTCAACGTTCACACCATAGAACTTGAGTGAATGCGATTTCCAAACGTTTAAGTAATTCTGATTGCAGCATTTTCGGAATGAAAAAACGGCCACAAAGAAAAACGTTTGTATTGCATTGTTGGAACGAAAGCACGATCACTAAGGGGATCAATGCATTGTGGCATTGTTGGAATGAAAGCACGATCATGGGGGATCAACACATCGCGGCATTGTTGGAATGAAAATACGGTCACAATGTCTGGAGAGTTGAGCCTTGGTTGACCGCATTATTGATTGCGGCATTGAAAGAATTCTTCACACAAAGACCGTCACTTTGAACTCAAGCGACACCAGATAAGGCGCACCTGTAGATAAGGCGCAGCGATGTTTTTGTGGTCTAGAAAGTCAGATAAGACGCGTCTTATCCGCAGGAAATTACGGTAGTAGACAAATGCCACATAAAACCACATCCTGTGTTGCATCAGTGAAGGTGGAGATTGATAAATTGGTTTTATTTTTCGTCTTTTTTCCACAGGCTCAGCGACAAGGGATCATGATCGCCCAATACGAGGCGTACGCCAACCCGAAAGATCACAAGACGTCCCTATTTGACAATGTACAGCACGAGATCAGTTAGCCTTCAGCATTAAAATTACAAAATAATTACTAAGCAATCCATGCAGGGCCGTCGCCAGAGGGTGGGGGGGGGGGGGTGAAACCCTCCCATTACTGTCGGCAAATCCATAATTGTCCGCAAATTTGTGAGTTGAGGGCCTTTTTATATATTTTTTTTACTGTTGTCGGTAAATTATGAAATCTGAGGACCATTTTTTTTAGGCTTGTCAAATATTTCATTGCAAGTGTGTTGGCAAATTTGTTGCAGTAAATTTGAGGACTTTTTTTTTTTTACTTGTCGAACCTTTTGTACGCAAACTTGTCGGCAAATTTGGTCCGACCCCCCCCCCCCCCATTGAAAATGTTCTAGTGACGCCCCTGAATCCATAAATGATGTCAAATTATGGATGATTCATGTCCCCAAATTGTGTTGTATTATAAAATCACAGTCAAAAAAGGTATACTTGATAACGCATGTGTGCTTATATATATAAATGTATTTGGAACCTTTAAAAGGCTACAGATGTGTGAAGGAGATGTTAAAAGTTTCCGATTAAGGACAATTATGCATGTATTTGCAGCGAAACATATCAATCATTCAAGTTTTAGTTATTCTCTGAATATCTACAGGGATGCCCAGAAAGAAAAGGACTTATCACAGTGTTTTTTTCTAGCACTCCAAAACTTCATGTAACTGAGCCATGCGATGGATTTTTTTATTTCAATAATGAAATTTTGTTGTCCATCTTTATGTCCCATTCGCCTTCCTTTCAGTCTTCATATCGCAATATAACTTAGTGAAATTCATTTTCATGGCTGCCTTCTATTTTGCAGTTTGAGAAAAACTGAATGTGTATATGGACTCAAGCTGTACATTTTTGTGTGGTTGCATGTATTTCCATAAAACAAAATAACAGTGAGTGTTAATATAGCCATTAAAAGCCCAAGAGGAAGCAAAATAAGACCCATATGATGGATGTTAAAATTTTTGTTAAACTCATGTTTCACAAAAAAAAAAGAAGGCATGTCCAAACGTTTCTTGTTGACAATTTGTTGCGGTTTATTATCAATAAATCAGCAATTTTTTTTTTTATATTTGAAATTAAATAGTCTTGTTATTGTTTGGGGTTGAAACACTGATGTGTTCTTTCGAATTGAAAGTTCAGCAAAAAAATATTTAAAAGCCAGAACATGATGTGCATTAAAATGTAAAAACAATCTCGTGAATTTTTTTTTTTTTTGGAAGCTGTAAAAAATACACACTGGAAGTGCTGATCCCGAGTCGTGCACCAGTTACCAAAATTCATCTGACGACAGCCAAGACAAATAAATAAGCTGTCTGCAGTGAGCTGAAGACATTTATAGAGAGTTTCCAGTGTTTCTAAATAGAAAAGGAAGTTATCTCAATGGAGCATTCAAACTTTCAAAGTGTTCAAATATCTGAAACACTAAAAAACCAGGTAACTTGAAAAAATTACGCATTCTTTATACTTGAAACTGTTAAAAGGAATTAGCCAAGAAAATCTTTCCCAATCCTACAAAATCCTACAAAAAGCCTTGACGGATTTTGAAGGATGTAGGAGGGTCAAGAATAAATGAAATTAAATGGTATTGTTTATGTTCTTTTTTGGCTCTATAACTTGTAGTACTCCACAAGTTTCTCATCGGTAGGTTTGAGAACAGTCCTGTCGGTCAGGTTCACGATCCAACCCGGCTGCAGGCCGAAAAAAATCTGTCTAGGGTCCTTCCTCATTCCCAGCATGCCTCGCTTGGGGTCGGAGGTCAAATCCGCAAGGGCATAGCCAAACTTTTCGGCCAGCGCGACTCTGGCCGACCGCACCTCGTGCGGATCCGCCAAGTATCCGCGGTTCTCGGCGCTGGTGTAGAACGGCACAATGTCCTTGGGCGGGAGTGCCCGTTTGGGAATGGGCTTTCCTCTGTTGAAGTAGAGGAGAGGGTGGGCCAGGGCATCGAGGCTTTGGAGATCGTAGAAGCCTAGGCTGATAATGCCGCCGTTTCGCTCGATGGCTGCAAGGGTGAGCTCCGTCGCCCACTGGACTTCGATGTTTAGCTGGGCCTGGAAAGTGTCAGCTCCCTGTGGAGAAAAGAATAAACTCCAACATTCTCTGCACGGCTGGTTACAACTGAACAATGCCCAACAACAGCAAAACCAATCATGATGTCGCATACGCTCAAGATTAATCTGAATGATAGTGTTTTATTTTCTGGACATTTTAGGAGTTGGCTAATTCCCTGAGAATTTGTGAACAATGCTTCCCTCATAAAATTTATCTTAACTTGGGAAAAAAACTTCAATGTTCAATCGAACTTGTGTATTAATAATCAGACTTGGTTCCGATCGAAGTGGACCTGTGTGAAAAGATTTCAGGTCTTTGGGCTTACTTCTTCGGTAAGATGAATGCCATACTGCTTCTTGTAGATATCAATATTGATCTCCCCAGCATTGACCAGGGAGGTCACGTCGATGGGTTCGTCGGGGTCGATTCTGCCAACGTCGATCAGATGCTGGATCTTGGACAAGGAAACCGGCAGGTACTCTCGCTTTAAGCTGGCGAAGGAAAATACAGCAGAACAAAAGCTTTTTAAAATACAAAGGTGTTGCATCATGTGGTACTTTATAGTGCTGTTTAAAATGCCAAGTGGATCTAAAAAAATACGGGCAAGCCTAGAGGGTTAGTCCAAAGATAGATTTAATAACAGTTGATAGTAGTGCTGTATGTTGACGATCAAGTTCGGAAATTTTATCCAAACAATGGTTTGGTTCAGATTTGGCAGCCAACTGTAACATAAATGTAAGTTATATCCAAACAAAATGGGCCTGGAATCAGAGAGAAATTCTCCTGAACATTGTATTTTTTTTTTTTTTAAGTTGGTGAACAGCTGTAGTAATGGCAAAGACATGTAGTAGATCACATTAATGATATTCTGAAACCATTATGATTTTCAAGAAGTGAGAAATCAAAATGTTTTTAGTTGGCAAATTTGCTAACATGATGTTTAGTATTTTGATGATGGTTTCACAGCGTGACGTTAATAGGCAACCACTCTAGGCACAAGTTGTTAAAAGAGGAGCCTAATAAACAGAGGAGGAAGTCGGACTAACTTACTGATGGCCCTTGTAGTAGGGGTATTTGGGTATTCTCAGGTAGAATGGTGTTTGGCCGCCCTCGAATCCAATCCGCGGTTTGGTTCCTCTCATTCCTTGCCCTGATTTACCGTGCCCACTGGAGTTGCCTCTATATTGTCCCCTACCACGGGTTCTGGCCTATGCAAATGTACACAGTCACAGACAAATTTTAGTATTTTTTTTAGAAAAGAGTTTTAAAACGAAATATACAATGATGAATAATGTAAAACAGATAAGAAACAATGTTGCATCCAGATGCCTTTTTTTTTCATTATTACTAAAAAATAAAATCTCAATGAAGGTCAGTCACTGCAGAAATGTTGAAAAGATATGAATCTCAGACTGAAAAACATATCAAATTTTTTGTTGAAAATACTTTGAAAATGCACTCGACTCTCCATGTCTTTACAATCAAAGAAGTGGCGTCTGGATTACTACTACATTACTACATTCTTTCCAACAGATAATGTAGACCAAAGTAATAATTACAATAGATAGGTGCTTCTAATATTACCCTAAGCAACAAGAAGCAAAACCAATACATGCCACAGCGCCCGAAATCGACGCTCACTAATGCTCAATTTTTTTTTCACGAAAAAGATGCAACATGGAATGTCGATAGAAACATTTGGCTAGCACCAACTTGAATTAATTATACGCCAGTTCAACCGACATCGAAAAACCGAGAAGTAGTCATGAGACATGTTATTTTCAATACCTTTTTCCTTGCACCGGGATTGTCCCTGATGTTATTTAATCCTACTCGAGGCAAATTTCTAATCAGTTCTAAGGCGCGTCGTGTGCCTGTGCTGGAAGTCGCCATGTTGGATGGGTTTCTAAAAATAACTTTTTTGGGATGGTTTACTAAACTGGCCTATTACAAGTTTTTAAATTATCAAACTCATGCATTGTGATAGATTTTCAAAATAAATGAAAAATAAAAAAAAAAGTTAATTTGATATATTGGTAGGAATCTAAAGATAAAGTGATTTTAAAAATAGTTCAGAGACCCCCAACGTCGATTTCCCAGGTTGCAATGCAAGTATCAAGATGGCTGCGCCCTTGTGCAAAATGTGGAGTTTGTTTTTCAAGTTTGTTGGAACGATGAGGAAGGAGGTCTCATCGATGGAACTAATGGACAAAGGTAAGAACCATTTTTTTTGTCATGATAAAATGTTCAATTTAACACCCAAACATACTCGGAATGCAGTCTATTGGTTATTAAGTCAATAAGTGAATGTGGGTCCAATTCCTATTTGTATAGCGCCCTCTATCCCAACTCTGACAAAAAGTTTCTCGCGGTCTGTGCAAAATTCCCACGCCACGGTACTGCGTGTCGCAACCAAACAAAATTCGCAGAGAAAGAAAAGACATACATGTACAAACAAGTGATCATTGGGAACATTTCTGTATCAACAGTCTGTGAAAACTGCAAACCACGGTTTTCATCTTAAATATTATTGTAGGCTATAGGCCTGTATACTTTCAAAATGTCGATCGTATGATGATGATCTGAACGTGCGTTGTCGTGTTTTTTTTTCGATGGAAAGATTTCTTTAAAATTAATTTTTTTTTTTAAATAAAATATAATTAGCAATAGCAGACGCATGAGAATGCAATCGCCACGATGAAAGTGCGCCCTCAATGCATTTGTTAAGCGGTACATAAAAAAACTTGTGTTAAAAACAATCGTTGGGGGCGCACAATACATCATCCACTCCACTTGCGATTGCGAAAAAAGGGCATGTGATATTATAGGCGGTGGTCTTTCCTTCTATAGTCAGTATATTCATAGAGTTGAATTTATACGAAATGAAATTCTTTACTAACGGATATAATTTATAGCCATGTTGAATGAGAATCCGAAAATTTCAATCTGGGTGGAAGATTTCATCCCCCTCCTTCGGTTTGCTTTAAATAACATCGCCTAAATAATTTATGTCGTGTTTGATGTAATTCAGTGAGGATGTTTAAGAATTTACCAAAACGTTCACCATAAATACGTAGAGCCTATGCATTCTACAAACTGCAGTTGTTCGTGAGAGTATGTTTCATATAATTGTCTTTCCCATAATTTTGGCTAACATTTTGTAAGTGTTCTTGAAACCATGTGACACAACATGCGATTCTTCATTATCGTAGAGTTGATATTCAGCACTGTTCATGTTAATGTTCTGTTGTGAAGTTGTGAAGCGAAGGTGATATGTCGTAAAGGCGTTGTAGTTTCCGTTCAGATCTTTGCTTTGTTTCAACATTTTAGTGCATGGACCTCGGCTTGTCGCCCGCCCTTCACTTTCCAATTATAACTCTCCACCGACTTGGTCCCCCGTCCGTGAGATCGTTCACCCTCCTCCCTGCCACGGATAAACAGATTGCGATAATTCGATGATTACACGAATATTCAATTTGGCGCGCTTTTTTTGTGCACTGGCAGCGCGAGTGGCGTGCACGGCTGAGAGGAAACACACGGCAATTTCCACGGCGAGCCGCAGCGCGCTCATCGGCCCTGCTGTCTCTCCTTAATACCCTCGCGTGTGCTCCGCTTCGTGCTCCCAACTTCTCCCGTCCTTTAAGACTTGATTATCTGCTTCCCACTCCAGACCATCTCACTCTAGATTTTGTCCTCCACTCTTTCTCTTTTCTTATACTGCTCAATCCCCATTCCTTTTTTTTCTTCTTCTTCGCGACCCGAGTGCAGTTTTTACCTGCGGGCATGTAGGATTGCGGCCGGGGCGTAAGGGCGCTATATAGCTGCTGCTGTACATATGCACCCGCGATCTTAATCTTTTCTCTGGGTTTTTTAATCTTCAATAAACTTAAGTGATGCAGAATGAGGATGTGTTTGTGCGATGAAGACGTTGAAGGGAGGAGGAGGGACATACGTCATGCGTCTCAGCTCATCACCAAGGCGTGGCATGCCATCTCTCTTAGTGAAAGACCTTTAATTGGATGTTCGCTTTTGACATGGATTTATCATTGTATTGAATCGTGGTTGGCCAAAATTATTCGTATTTTTTGTAGATAAAGGCTCCGATTCGGAGTTTGTAAATGGAGAGTGATAATTCTGCAATTCCATTTGTGCCCTTCACCTGTTTTTTATTATTTATCTTTACCGGAGCGTTCAGTATAAACTTGAGCAATCTGTGATCTCAGTTTTTTTTGATACTGTGAATTTAAGAATTTGAGGGCGCACTTCACTCGATTTTGTTTTGATGTTGTGAATTTAAGAGCTTGAGGGCGCACTTCACTCGAAAGGGCTTCATGCCCTTATACTTTCATTGTACAATTCGATTGTTTGACACAGTCCAAAGTCTGGGAACTTTGGAGCATCCTTTTCGAGCAAGGACCAATTGCATTTTGTAATATTGGCAGCGAATCAATATGATTGGAAACAGCGCCCTCAAGAGCTCGCCGTACCCATAAAACCATTCAAAACCAAAGCGGTCTTCACATAAATAAATGTAATTTTTCTAATATAAGCTCAGGAATGTTATGCCATGCACAAAATATCAGGACGTAATATGTTGTTTGTTTTTTATCGAACAATCTCCACGGATATCCTGCAAATAACAATGGACATCAAATTACAAATTCAAATTAAAACCAACCAACCAACCAACCAACAAACAAACAACCCAACCAACCAACAAACAAACAAACAGACAACTGAACAAACAGACAAGCGATGAACGCATATAACAATGTATATCTGAGGCGTTGTCGAGGATAACACACAAAAAATACCAGCAGCTTATTTTCGAATTCCATAGGCCTAATGTTGCTTTATGCCTTTTCGTCTTGCGGCTTTGTAAACATTCTAATGCCCTAAATAAATCGGTTGCTTACTTAAATTTTCTTCGTGAAGTTGATCCCAAACCCTGTCTTTATGTGTACACTTCAGTTGCAGAAACTGAAATGCCAGAAAATGAGAAAGAAAATCACTCTATTCACTTCATTCGGAAGGTAATATCAGAATTCAAACCGTGGTTTATCATAGAGCTTGCAAAATTAAACATCAACTGAACCGTGAACACAAAGACTTTCAGTTTTTAAATATGACTTTGGTTAAGAAATTGATTTACTCGTTAATCGATCTACAACTGCTCTGTTGCTTGAATATTTTTCTTGTCTGTCTGTGAGATGATGTTTTTTTCCGTAAGCAGCAATCGATGTTATCGGTTGGGAAAACTCCCAGTTACTTCTCCGCAGTTATTCCCTGCTCTCCTTAATAGTCTCTGGTTATATAATTTTCGTCTGGTATATCTCCCAGGGGATGTGCAATGTTATCATTCCACGGCCGGGAATGAGGAGGTTTCCCCTATCAATTATTGTAAACTAAAACAAATTATAGCGGGCCCGGTAGCGGGGCGAGGCGAACGGATGCGTGTATCATGTCTCTCTCGTGCCGCTCGAAATAAAAAAGAGAGAACCCGGCCCTATATGAACCGGTGTCCATGTTTCCCCACACCGTATGTGTGAGTGTGTGTGCCCGTTACCCCCCGGGGACGTGCCCGGGGTGGAGGTAACGGAATACTGTTGTTGTTGAGCATTTTGATGTCTCACCCGCCCCTCTGATGCTACGGGGTTGGTGGATGCCCCCCCCCCCCCCCCAACCAAACTCAAACACACGCGCCCGTGTGGTTGGCCAAGTAATTTTTGCAGGGGCTCACGAAAGGTATAGTATCTTAATTAGTGAATCTCTCCTGTTGTAACTATAGTTTACTTACTCTGCAAAATGTTTTTGTGAGGCCAACTTTTTAATTTTTTTCTATTTCATGATTGGTGAATATAGTTATGGATCGGACCGGCGTGTTTTTTTTTTATTGACAAGTTGAGCTTGGCCCGACTCTCTTCTTGTGTCATGTGACGATCGTCATCAGGAATTTTAAAGGAGAGTTTGAAAGAGAGTTTCCCAGAACAAAATTGTGAATCGCAACAAACTATAAAGTAGATTTCTTTTTACAAAGGTTTGCTTCATGTTATACGCTCGTAAATTTTAGATGACAGCAATGTAGCAGTAATTACCGACAGTCTAAATTTAATTCATATAATTTCAGTACTTAAATGACCGTTGAGTTATCGTTTTATACGAGTTAGAAGTCTATCTCTTTACTTGTGGTGCAAAGACTATAATTTCTCAAACATCATTGTTTGGAGGGGGAGGGGGGAAGAAGGGAAAGCTACTGCTGATAATATGAATTTAAAAGAATCTAATTTGCCCAATTTTCAAGTATAGTTTGAGTATCGTTCCAATCATGGAGCTATAAAGTTGGAGCTCCATGTTCCAATGCGGTTACACGCAATATTTGGTGCATCCAAATTGCAGCTGAACCACAATTGAAAGTGTTCGCGGTTTCACGTGTCGCATGATAATGTCCACATTAGTGCCATTGTTTTCGCCAGCCGTCACTTGCGGGGTACCAGCATAGGCTGACTAGTGGTTCTAACGGTGAAGGCAATTTCGCTTAATCAAAGGCGAGAGCGAGATGGATTTCGTCTCAATCTTCCAACTCTCTTTGAAATTACTTTCTCGCCTTTTGTTGCGACGGCATCGCTGCAAATGAGTAAGATCACGGTGTGATTTTATTAGTTCTTACATTCATCTATACAGTCAGAGTCATTTACCAAAAAAAAAAATGAAAATCATTTTGCTTCATGTTGGGTGCCTTGTCGGAGAAATAATTGTGATGCCTGGGGGCTCGTAAAAAGTGTCCTTTTCAAGCAGGACGGTGCACATGGAAAGGAAACTCAAAACGTGCATTTCTTTAATCATCTTAATTCCCACAACAAAAGCTTGGCGAGTTAAGTTCACTCTTGGCCTGTAAGGGGACCGGACCGCGTGTTAATTATCAGGGCCCAATAAAAACCAACT